GTCGGATACCTGGTGATACAGCCCAGAGTGGGAAACGGGACGAGGGAGGCAAGTTTGGGCTTGAAGTGGTAGAAATGACGGGCCAGTTGTGACCTGAATTTGAGGTGGCAGTGGCCATAGTGGTGGGTGTTTGGTGCTGGTCTGGAGGAACAGTTGGACAGCCATCAGTGTGCGGGTGACGGCTGAAGCGATGGCAGTAGGCAAGTTTGTTTCTGTTTAGAGAACGGTTTTGTAATTGTAGGCTTTTAGTCTGGTGTCTCAGGATAGGAAGGGCATGTCTAGGAGTGTCAGCCGGCTGTGTCCTCTGACCGTTACTTGTTCTTAATCGCCAGAGAGTGGGACCGTGGCCGGGAGCGCCGCAGTCGGGGTGAATATCGGGACTATGACCGGAATCGGCGAGAGCGCTTCTCTCCTCCCCGCCATGAACTCAGCCCCCCACAAAAGCGCATGAGGCGAGACTGGTGAGGTGGCAACGGTTTCTCTGCCTTCTCTCCTTAGCCTCAGTTCCACTGGGCCTTGGCTGTCTGTTGGCACTTTGGCTGAGGACTGTGTCATTTCCTTTCCTATAGGAAGTTGGAGGACTTCCTATAAACCCCCGTTTTTTTGTCCCTTTAAACCCTTGGGTGAGAGCCCACATTCCATATGCCCCTTCCTCTGTCCCGTCTTCCTTCGTGCTCTGGAGACATGATGCCCTTCTCTGTCTGACTTTTGTGTCCCCTACCCTCAGGGATGAGCACAGTTCTGACCCATACCACAGTGGCTATGAGATGCCCTATGCTGGGGGGGGGTGGGGGCCCAACTTATGGCCCCCCTCAGCCCTGGGGCCACCCAGACGTCCACATCATGCAGCACCATGTTCTGCCTATCCAGGCCAGGTAAAGACCTGGGGTTCTGGGGTTCCTGGGAAAAGGGAGTTGTTAGGTTCGGGGGATGGATTGGGGTTGCCAGAGACCGCAGCTGGAGCCAGGAAGTGGGTTAGGTACAGAGGGGTGCCTGTGGGGGCGGGAAGCAGTTGGTGCCTATGGTGTGTGTCCGTGGTGGGCAAAGGAAGGGGGCAGCTGGCTACCTCGGCCCCCCCATCCCCCCCACCCTCTTCCCCCACAACCAAGACTTCCTGACCGGGCCCCCCCCAGGCTGGGCAGCATCGCAGAGATTGACTTGGGTGTGCCACCACCGGTGATGAAGACTTTCAAGGAGTTTCTCCTGTCATTGGATGACTCTGTGGACGAGACTGAGGCTGTAAAGCGTTACAATGACTATAAGCTGGATTTTCGAAGGCAGCAGATGCAAGATTTCTTTTTGGCTCATAAAGATGAGGAGTGGTGAGTGCCCCCGTCTTCCTCCTGTCTGTACCCTAGCATGTGTCCCCTGGCCCCGCCAGTGGAGCCTGCAGCCCTGTCCTCTCCCATTTTCCCCGATCCAGAACTTCCTGGGGGCGGGGGATGGGAAGGACAACAGCATTGGCTGATGGGTTCTCCTCCTCACTTCACCGTCTGCCACGGCCTCCCGCCCCACCTCGCTTCCCCTCTGTCCTCAGTGAGTGGGACACCTCCAGGCAGCTGGCCAGAGCCACCTGTTCCCTTGGGGCAGCAGACAGACTGCTTCCCACTTGCTGGTATTGGGTCATTGTCATCCCTGATCGCCGGGACCCTGTGTGGCTGTGGTGTTCTCCCAAAAGCAACGAGTGAATCCAGACAAGAA